AAGATTTTTTGCGGTTGGCCTTTTTTTTCGGCGAATAACTGTCAGTGGCAAAATTATGCCAAGACGCCGATGTCGCGCGAAATGAATGGGCAACACGGGAATTGCCGACAGCGCTGAACAAACTACAGCAGCAGTAAGTTGTCCGTTATTTCGGCGCGGTTGCATTCACGCGGCGGTGGAGAACGGCGAAAAAACGGGACGTATTGGGCAGAAATTCCCCGCGAGCAACGTGCGCCCCTCTGCTCACACGCACACACATCACTCCATCCACTCCTTTCAGCTCATCCATGTCTAAGTTTTTCGCCAACTCCCCGGCCAAGAAGCAAAAAAAGCCCGCTGAGGAGACTGCAGTGGCGGCGGTGATCCCGGCGGTTTCACAACCGTGGGTGAGATCTTTCCGGGTCGTGTCTGTCCCGTGCCAACTTGCCCCACTCCCAAGCACCTGATCGTTCGGTACAAGAACGGCCGGCCCTTCGTCGTCTGCTCGAATCAAGTTCGCGACGATCCCAACTCCTGCCAGTTCACGGCTAACAAGTTCGGCAAGGACCGCGCCGTCGGCAAAGGACCGTCTACAATCGCCTGCATCACCTGCGACGTGCCTGTGGAGTTCGTCCTCTCCATCGGCAGGCCCAACGGCGACACCAACCCGACCTCCGGGAAAACAGAGTAGGTTCAAACCTCGTATCTTCTCGGCGTTGTTTGGATGCAACCTTTCTGTTACTTACTCTTCCTCTGTTTTAGCTGCGTACCTTCTGCTCTCCCTTCTCTTATCATGTCCATAATAATAACCCCATGTATCGTATGTACGACGCTTTTCCCCGTGTCTTCTCGGCGTTGTTTGAGTGTAACCTTTCTCGAAGCTCCCTCTATTTTAGCTGCGTGCTTTCTGCTCTCCCTGCGATTGAATGTTCTTTCGCACACTGACCGTCCTTCGCGCAATTTTTCCGTCCTCCCTCGTGCTCAATTGCAGAGTACGACAACGTCCACGTGTACTTCGACGACTGCCTGGGCAAGCGCGCCACCGACCCCGTCACCGGAAAGACTGTCCTGGCACACTGCACCGCCGCCACGCAAGAAGTCATCGGAGTAAGAGCTGTTCGTTTTCTTTTGTTGCCACCACGTGTGAAAGGTAAACTACGCGGGGTGCAGCAAGCACGTTCTGGACGTTACTTGGGGCACTGGGTAGTCGGCCGTGTTAGACCGAGAGAGAGAGGTTGAGAGAGAGTTGGAGAGAGAGTGGGAGAAGGAAATTTGATTGGAGAGAGATGGTGGTGTTGGTGGAGAGAGAGAGGGAAGGAGTGCGCAGCACGCACGCAAGCTCCATCGCACCAACCACGCCAAAAGGATCCCCGCGACTGCACCGGTGGTACCCTACTATACACGAAATTCCCAACACGTATCCCCTGGGATCCTCACGACCAGATACTGCTGCGAGTATATCTAACATCCCCCCTGCTCGCAACAGTCTCTCACTGAAAACTTCGCTAACACCCGATATCTCAACCAAAAGACGTCTTTCCCAGACGATATGCCACCAAGACTTTACCAGAATAACATAAGAGAGAGAAAAACAATTCAAAGGAATATGAATGCTGCATCGCGCGTAACAAATACTTGGCGCGGGAAATGAAAGAAAACGGGAAACAAAACGAGAAGCAAAACAAAACCAAAACACAACCTATCAGAAAAGCAATAAAATGTTCATCCCAAATTCATCACAAAATCATGGTGAGACTCGAAAGCATCCTTGGGCAAACTCTTCGTAAGGAAGTCTGCACGCTGGTACGGCGACGGCACGTGAATGACCGAAATTTCCTTCCTCTCTACCAGTTCNTCAATGTGCTTCGAGTTCGAGTTTGAGATGGGGTTCTGCGCTAGTTGAATCGCCCCCTGGTTGTCCTCGAAGACGGGGATGCACGGCATGCCGACCTGCGGCAACATGAAACGCCAAATCTGCCTCAAAAACAAAATCTCCTTCACTACGTCGCCTAGCGCGACGTACTCTGCTTCTGTCGTCGAAAGCGTGACGCATTTTAGCGTTCTGGAAAACCAAGGCACAGCGCCTCCTCCACACGTCACGATCCCCCCTGATACCGACCTACGGTCTGCTGCCTTGCTTGCAAAGTCCGCATCAGCGTATCCCTGCAAGCTGAATCCCTCTACCGTACCTCTCTGAAACGAAAAACCAACGTGACTCATCCTCCTCGCATAGCCTAAAATATCCATCGCTGCATTCCAGTGTACCAGCTTCGGAGATGCGCAATACCTAGCTTCTGCCCTTACTGCATTCGCAATGTCTGGTCTACGCTGAGTCGCCAACCACATCAACGATCCTACCAGCTCACGAAACGGAAACTCTGTCGCCACCTCATCCGCATCAAAATCAGAAAGTTTCACACCCGAAGACATCGGAACGCTCCTACCTCCCACTACTCCATACTCTGCTGCTAGCTCGTCCGTGAAAGTCTGCTGAGAAATCGTCAACCTACCGGTCTCCTTGTTCCTCTCGTAAAAGCACCCAGAATACCATCTCAACTCTCCCAGGTTCTTCACTGGCACGGACTTGTTAAGGTCAGCGCCAAACTTATCACATCTCTCCCTCTCTCCAACAGCAAAGATGTCATCTACATGTACAACCAAAATCAAAACAACACATCCATCCTCAATCAAACGAAACACACAAGCATCGGCCATGCACTGCTCAAATCCTAACGCCACCAAACACCTCTTCAGCATTGCATGCCACTGCCTAGATGCCTGTCTCAAGCAAAACAGACTCTTGCCTAGCTTTACAAGCATTCCAGATAGAGCTCCACATCCCTGCGGCAAACGCATGTACTCGTCTTCCTCCAACTCCGAATGCACAAAAGCTTGCTCAATATCGAAATGACACAAGCCGAGGTTCAACTAGCACGCCAAAGCAGCCAACATCCTAACACATGAAACAGGGACGGTAGGCGTGTACAACTCTCCAAAGTCAATGTACTCTCTCTGCATATCACCTCTCGCTACAAGTCTCGACTTAACCTTAGTGGGCCATCCAAACTCATCTGCCTTCCAATCGAATACCCACTTAGCGTTAATTGCGTTCTCCACTAGTTGCTACTTCGCCGGAGTAAAAGTCCCCGCTTCCAACAAGCCATAAAACTCCCTTTGCATAGAGTCGCTCCAAAGGTGCCGGTGCTCCGACGCCATGGCCTCTTTGTAGCTCTTGGGGACACGAAGGTCGCTGGCCTGGCAATGCGGAAGGTCAGGGCGTTGCTCCGGCGGGCGCTGGTCTCGCAGCGTGGCGTCGATGTCTTCCCGGTTGGCGAGGAGCGTGGCAAATGCGAGTGGAAAGCCCGCTCCTGCAGCCCCCGGGTCCACTGCTGCGAGTGCTCCCGCCTGCTCTCCGGCCCCCGTTCCCCCCGGCTCTCCGGCCTCCGCCCCCCCCAGCTCCCTGCGCTCCTTATCCACCGCGCTCCGAGCCTCCAGCATCGACACCAGAGTGTTCCTGTCTAGCATCGAGATGAGTCCTGTGCTGTGCCTCGTGCCCGATCTCGTACGGCTTGGCAGCCGCGGGTCTGTCATACCCTCGGCCTTTGTACCCGGGCGAAGCTGCCGCATGGCGTGAGCCGTAAGCGGGGGCATCGCGGGGTCCGGCGGCGGCGGCGGCTGGTATGGATCGGGGGTCGCCGACGGTGACGGCGGAGAGGCAGAGGACGGATTGCCAGGAGCGGGGGTCGCCGACGGTGACGGCGAAGTGGCAGAGGGCGGCTGTGAAGTCGTGGGAGCGGGCGGCGGCGTGGTCGCTGGCGGCGGCGTTGCGGCAGGGGGCGAAGAGGCAGCGGGAGCGGGAGCGGGCGACGGCGTGGGCGCTGGCGGTGGCGGTGTGGCGGTCGAAGGCGTCGGTGCTGGGCCAAAGTTGATCGAGACGACCGGCGGCGTGAACGGGGGGGGTGTCGGCGCAGCGGTGATACCAGCGGAACCCCCCTCGCCGGCTGGCGCCGACGTCACCCACGACACGTTGTTGGTGTAGACGACGCGGCCGGTGGACGCCTTGAGGACCTTGACGGTGCCGCTCGGGTGGTTGTCGCCGCCGTTCAGGTAGTAACAGAGAGTGGCCTGGTCGTCGAGCTTGGTGCGGCGGTCCTCGCGCATGAAGCCGGGCTGGAAGAACGGCAGCACGCGGAACGGCCCCTGCTCGCCGGTGAACATCTCGTGCGGCGAGCGCCGCCCGGGGTTGGCCTTGGTCGCCGACTGGTTGAGAGCGTCGGCGGCCCACTTCGCCGATTCCATCCAAAGACGGTCACCACGCTCGTCGAGGCCGGGGATGGAGGCGAAGTCGACGTGGAACACACGGCCAGCGCTGCGGCGGGCGGCCATGCCGGCCTTCATGATGCGCCAGATGGCGCTCTCGACGACGCCGTTGTACTGCGGGACGCCAGGCGGGGTGAACTCGACGCCGATGCCGTCGTCGTCGTAGAAGCGCCGGAAATCGCCGCGAGTCCACTCGGTGCCGTTGTCGACGCGGAAGCACTCGATGCGTCCGAGGTCGTACCGCCCCACGTCTGCCAGCAGCCTTTTCGTTGCCGCCAGCGCGTCGGACTTCCGCCGGAGACCGTAGACCTTGTTCCACCGCGAGGCGCTGTCCACGGCGACGAACAGGTAGAGGTTGCCGCCCAGGGAAGGCACCAGCGGTCCACACAGGTCCAGGTGAACACGCCCGAGAGGCTTGGACGCCCGCGCTCCCGGCCCCCGCGGCACCGACGCTCGCCTGCCCTTCGCCTTCATGCAGTCCGTGCACGGTTCCAGCTTGCCGGTGAGCACGATGCCTCTCTGCTGGGCAGTTTCTCTCAAAAGAGGCTCGCAAGCGTGGGCAAGGGAGCGGTGGAAGCGGTTGATGTCAACGGACTTTTCAGTCGAACCAAGAGCAAACGGGGACGCACCAGGGCCAAGCGCGGCCGCACCCAAGTCAAAATCAGCACCCCCATCAATGCTATCCAAAACACCAGCCACATTCGCAGCGTCACTCTCTGGGATAAATACGAGGAAAAAATCTTGATATGGGGTGTCATCATAACCATCCATGAGCTGCTCGTCGGTGAGCACACTCGTATCTCCTAGATCCATACCAGGAAAAGTACCCACACACACAAACTCGGAAGCCGAAGAAGGTACTACGTCGGCAGAGCCGGCGGGCGGGACGCTCTCACTCGCAGGTACTACACTGGTGGGACCAGTGGGCGGGACGCTCTCACTCGAAGGTACTACGGTAGCAGAGCCTGCGGAAGGAACACGCAACACGGACACCAATGATTCCGCGGAGCCCCCTTTTTGGGAAGGGGAACGCGTGGAGCCAACGGCGGGGGCGGAATCGGGGGCAGTCACGAATGCAGGCAAAGCAGCAGAGTCTACTATAGTCGCAGATGGGTCGTATGGTAACCGCATGGCATATGCTGCAGACGCTTTTTCCTCCCTAGCAAAGAGCAGTCCATTTTGAAGGGTTGCACCACGCTCGTCGTGCAGGATTTGTTGCTTTCGAGAAACAGCATGCGTGGAAAACAAGTTGAAGCTTAGGCTTTCTACTACAGACACGTCAGTGAGCTTTACACACATGGTCGTTTGTCACCATTCTCATCCTCCTGAAAGAAAGTAAGATTGATGCTACCGATAGCTTGCACTTCGAGCAGTCGACTATCACCTACAACGACATACTTCCTACTGGCGGGAATCTCTTGCAGGTCGTACATGTGCAGGCTGCTGTTTGTAAAACTGTTGCTGGCTCCTGACTCAGCTACCCATCTCTCGCTACCAGGAGGTCCGTCACTAGATTCAACACTCAGCAAAGACGAAGCAGATGCAGCAGACTCTACTCCAATTGTCACTCCTATCCAATCAAAAAAAACTTCGGGGTGAGACTTGCCTAGATGCACCGATTGTGCCGTGCAGAGGTGGAGGTAAGCCGAAGATGGAGGCGCTCCAGGAGAAGGAGTAGAGGACGAGGGGGAAGCANCTCAGCTACCCATCTCTCGCTACCAGGAGGTCCGTCACTAGATTCAACACTCAGCAAAGACGAAGCAGATGCAGCAGACTCTACTCCAATTGTCACTCCTATCCAATCAAAAAAAANGGACGAATCTTCGCCGGCAGGAGGGTAGTAGACGTAGTGGATGCCGCCGTCAGGCGTACGGCTGTCTTCATACCCCTCAGAGTAGCTGTAGCTGTCTCCGGTGCCCGCTTCGACGTAGTGGGCGTACCCCGAGTCGTGGTAGCCATCGTCGCAGTAGTAGCCGTCGTCGTAGTCGCCGTGATCCTCGTAGTAGCCGCCGTCGTCGTGGGCGTAGTACACTACGTACGCCTGCTATCTCCCGTGGCCGGAGCGCCCGTGCCCCGGGCCTCTAGCTGCCCGCTCTCTCTCGGCACGACCATCGCTGCTGTGGCGCCCCGCGGGCCCACGACCCCCCGGGTGACGCCCCAGACGACCACCAGGCCCACGTCCACGAAGAGGTC